GCGGCACTAATTATATCTTGGACGAAATTAAGGAAATTTTGGATTAGCATTGATTTAGATCTACTTTCTGTGATTTTTGCAAGGTTTATTATAGGAATTATAGCCGGTAAGAAACGGGTGAATAGGCGGCAAGTTTTACCGGTTACCGGCTTTAAACGACAGCCCTGATATCATCCTCATAATAGTCTACGCGGGGAAAATGCATCTGAAAAAAATAATTTTTCACAAACATTTTTTTTCTTTGGTGCTCTGCAGGTTTTGGGTTCTCGATCCGCTTGCTGGCGATGCAAAAAAAAAAGGATTCCATGAAATAAAATACCCCCAGTTCACCGTCTAGACTACTTCTTTTCTATGGGTTGTCCGTCTTCCCGAGGATTTATCGCTCGTAGCGTGAAGGTCTCTGTACAAAGTCAACGTAAAATGCATCAAGAAAATCACCGTGGAACCCATTTTTTTGTATAGCCACAACGCGCGGATCTGAAATCAGAATCATCAGCGAAAATGTGGACAATTCTTATTAGAGTAAAGGAGCCGGTTTTCGGCCACTTAAGACAAAATCCTATTTTTTGGACTCTTTACTTCCTATTTATTATCTTTTCTTGTTCAAATCATGAAGCAAATGGAGCCAGTTATTGACCTAGCGAGTCAGTTTTCGACCACATGTACAAAGTCAATAGGAAGCGCTCGCGCGCGCCGTGCGTTTCCGCGCTGATCTATAGCACAAGCAGGCGGAGCAGGTATCCCACGCCGGAGCTCCCCCGGTGCTCGCCTGGTCGAAAACTAGCACTGCCGTGATCGGAAATTGGAATCTGAATTAGAGGGACATATCGTGTGTACGTTGCGGTGTGCGGCTGCATTGATTTAATACATGCGATAAGATATTATAAAATGGCTCTAGTATTTTAAGCATCGTGATTGGTCAATACGCGTCACATGACATTGACAAATTTTTGATGCAAGCACGATTTTGCAGAAATGAGTGCAGAAAAAGCGCAACAAAAAGTTATATTGCACGTGACCATGGAGATCCAGTGCGCGCGCGTACGTGTAGTACGCGCTCCCTCGAGTGCATTGCAATTATTGTAGGCTACGCGTAGCTAATATTGTATGCTCCACCATGATCCCCAGCGCGACGTAGGCGTAGCTTAGCTCTAGCATGGACTTACTAGACATAAAAAGCAAATTTTTATTTTACTTTTGCCTTGGATTTAGGCCTGTTTTGACTCTTGGATTTTATAATGAAGCCAGGAATTTCAGCTGTCTGATGTAGATTCGTCTCTAGACCCACTGTAGACCTCTGTGGATTTTATTTTTAATCAAGGCAATGAATCCCATTGACTTTTTGGTAAGCCTGCAAGGTCTTAGTCTAGAACCAACCTAACTCTAGATCTAGATCGAACTCTCGTAGACTCTAATTTAAGATCTAAAGTTTCGTTTGTTGCTATTTGTGTCGCTATTTTATAAAACAAATAACGCACTTGACCAATTGTGCGAAACGTAAATGCAGTGTACGCTCGGTTTCTTCAGATGGTTCGCACTGTCAACTCGCCGCAAGCGGCTTGTTGCACAGAGCGGCACCAATCTAAAGAAACCTCACGCGTACTGCATTCACCGCTATTGCACTCTGGGACGTGCGTTATTTGTATACTATTGAGCTTGCGACTTACACAAAATCGGGCTCTAAATCTGAAAAATACTTGAAATAAAGCTCATTTTCTGGTACCCATATTTCTTACAGACACGCGTAAGATACTTGATTTTTCAGATTTGGGTAGCGGGACCGCCGATTACATCGCTAAAATGTGATATTTTAGGATATATTTTCCATTGCAAATGTGGTTCTATAGTGACTCTGGCATGGTATGTGTGGGATATGTGATATGCTATTATGCGATGTATTTTAAAAGGATTTTACCATGAATCCAACGGAACGGCCGAAAACTGGAGCTGGTCGATTACCCCCTCCTTTACTCTATTGCGGACTTGTCTGTCCGCGTTTACGAAGACGATCCTGGTTTGTGGGGACGATCCTTATTCTCGGACCAGCGCCCCTCCTAGATTTTTTTTTTTAATCAGACAATTTTGGAGAAAAAGTAACCTGTATTAATTATGTACATTTCTTAGTTGTAAGGGCAAAAAATGATCAGTATTATTTGGCACAGCAAAAGAGACCTTGCTAAATTTATATGAGTAAAAGTTCCAACAGTTGTAAATCGCTTATTCTAAAATACCAGTAGATCACTCTGATGACATGATGATATAGCAAATCTCTGTAATTATAAATTGATTGTTTTTTATAAGTGCAAGTTTCCCGACAACCCATTGGAACGCATTTAACACGCATTTCAGTTGGGTGTTGGTGTACTTACGACAGTTTCGTGAAACAATGCCCTGGTTACTATAAACTATTTAATTCACCTGCTACATGGTATAGTTAATGGCATCTCTAGACTATAGATGAAATCCACTTATAATTTCTATGTCTGGCAGGCATCTGTCTAGCTTTTTGAGTTGTCAAGGGAAATTGTGATCAGATCTACTATTTGATTTTATGGCCAAATTAATTTGTGTATTTTGTTACAACTTACACAATTTCAGTTTCTTTATGGATGCTTGACCTTCCTCATATCAGTGGAAGTTAACCCAGGCTTAAAAAGGCTGCCCTCAAAGTTCAAATAAATACATACATGTGACCTGTTTGGCTTCCACATTTATGATTGGGGCCATTTTGGGTACATAATAATATTCCACTTTTATATAGCGCCCAATACATCAATACAACAATGTGTCTAAGCGCTGTACAGATATATTATTACTCCTGTCATCGGATCCAGGCTTACCCACACACAATGTATGCACAACATTCTCCACTTCTTGGGGAGCATTCTGGCCAGTCGCCATTTTACAAGCGCACACTTGCTCATCCAACCACATTAATCTCCGCATCCTACTGGGTACCCATTTAACACCTGAGTGGAGAGTGGCAAATGTAGATTAACGTCTTGCCAAAGGACTCCGGCGGGACTCCAACCCTGTAGGCCTGTACCTTGTGATCTGCAGACTGGTGACTTATCCACTAGACCACAGCACCTCTACAGTTAAACCTAAAATCTTAAACCTGAATGTAAACGCGACTAACCCTAATTTCCCTAAAACCAAGACTCACCCAAAACATAAATGCATTCTTAAAGCATACAATGAACTGCAATACCAGTGGTATGTATGACCAATTAGCTGTCACCATAATCTCTCTCTCAAAAAAATGAATGCATAAATGAGTAAACAAATAAATAAACATGGGAGTTTTTGCATCGCTCTTGCCTGTCTAGACACTCTAGTCAGTTTTAAAGTGCAGCTGTACGGTAGCTAGCATATTTTTATTTGAAGAAAAAAAATTGGCTGAAAGTTGCTGTCTGTAGTCTTATTACACAGGATATGGGTTGTTATACAAAAATATGTAAACAAATACACAAAACCTGCTTGCAGTGACCCCAGCACCACAGTGTACTGTATGGTGTACTGGGCTTCTTGTGACATGCATACATGTAGGTACATGTGGGCCTCTGGAGGATGTGGGAAATTATCTATTTTCAAGGTAGTTTCCCTCAACAACTTTCTATTATTTGTGCACAAATGTTTCATTAGCTTTAGGACAAGGAAGGTTTAAATTGTGTGGATTTGGACTTCGTGCACATGTCGACCCATATTGACCATTGATGCTTGACCATCAAGTCAACTGTTAATGTTGAATATGGTTTGAAATCATGACCATATTGTAGATAAATGTCCACGTATATGATGGTCGTACGTTTTGTGCTGCGCAAAGATTCAATCAGTTTAATTTTGCCAATTACAAGAAGTGGGTTATTATTAATGTAGGCAAATGCTCATGTACCTTTACAGCTCATTTTTACATGTATGTTATTACCAAAAGAAAAAAAGAAGTTGGTCAGTCACTCAATAGTGTCTGACAGTGAGGTGTAGAAAGTAAACTGGTTTCCTTGCATAATTCAAATAATAGGACACTGCTAATGTTTAAATTTCACAGAGAGGACATACATTAAAAATATTCATAATTCCTGCAAAGTTCTTCAGAATTTGATGTTGGCTGCAAATGGGACATACAATGTAGTACCTTTAAAGGTACTATGTCCCTTTTGCAGCCAACCTCAAATGCTGTAGAACTTTGCAGGAATTATGAATATATCATGTATGTCCTATCTGTGAAATTTTAACGTTAGCAGTGTCCTCATATTCAAATTATGCAAGGAAACCCGTTTACTTGCTAGACTTCACTGTCAGACACCATTGAGTGACTGACTGGCTTTTTTCTTCTTTGGTAACAACATACATGAAAAGAGTTGTAAAGGGTACATGAGCATTTGTCTACATCAATAACCCACTTCTTGTGATGGCCAAGATTAAACTCATTGAATCTTTGCGCAGCATAAAACGTATGACCATTCGGTACAATTGTCTGAAAATCAAGACTATTACTTTTGGGCTCTATAGCCCTAAAGTCGATTTGACAACTAATAGTCGTTATTTTCCCACTTGAAGACATTTTCAAGCCCCACCTTTTTTAGGGAAGTTCTAAATTAGTATTATCTTTCAAATGCAGTTGGAATTTAACTTTTTCATTTTTTTGGCCTGCAAATGGGACATAGTAACTTTAAAGTACTTACTGTTCTATTTGCATTTATTGGATGTACATGTTTGTGTGGTTTATTTTTACAATATTTGATGTTTGTATTAAGGAATGAAAATAACCAATATGTTCACATGCATTAATTAAGTTAACAAACCAGACATACGTACACAAGTTGAAATAACAAAAGTGATTTACGTGTTTGTAAAAAGGTTAATCATAAAGGAATCATGCAAATAATGAATGATGAAACAGTTGCCTCATTATGAGCTGAAAAAAATGTGATGGGAAACTCGCAATCAAGTTTCATTGGCCTAAGTATCGGAATATGTAGACAAGAGTCGACACTGGAGACAAAGCGGGTAATTCCCTCCCTTCAAAATAGCCTGCATTGATTTATGGTATTTCGAAATGACAATGCTATGGATCACAGCCATTGTGCAACCTGGCTTGATGCCGGTGTACATGTGTGTACTAAATGTCATATCTTTCATTGTCTCGTGGTAAAACCTGATTCGTCTATTGCATTGATTGCCGTTCTGTGAATTCCTGCTTATCCTTTCAATAATTGTGGCACATACCTGGATGTTTCTGTAACCGATTCACAATCATTGTTCAAGATGCCGTGCGAAGGCAGCAGAGAGACTCAGGGGGATATAGAGAAGCAAGGCTTAGATAGGTCTGTATTGTAACATTTACTCATTTTAGCGATTGCAATCATTGCATCATGCTATTTTCATGTTTTTGTGGGAAAATGTCCATGTCTAGATAGGCCAAAATCATTTTGTTATTTGTACTGTAGGACTAAAAACATGCAGGTCTATCTACATGTATGTATACAAGTTTGTATTGACTGGGCAATTTTGCGGGGAAAAAAAAGAAGGAATAAATAACTTTCGTTTTTTGCCAGCCCTATACTTCTAGTATGTACACTACAGACATTTTGGCCCGAATTCACAAAGGAGGTTTGTGGACAAACCTAGGTTCATGTGCGTCATATAACGCGTCATATGACGCACATAAACCTACATGTAGGTTTGTCCACAAACGTTGTTTGTGAATTCGGGCATATGAATATGGACCTACATTACATTAATACATGTACATGTAGAATGGGCATGTGTCCTGGGTATTAGGTCATGGTTGATAAATACAGAGCTGCCAACTAGTATCAGAGACGCCAAGTTCAAAGATCCGCAATGCGTGATATTTTCATGATTCGGCTTGTGGGCGAGGGTATAACACACGTAAAGGTATAGCGTTTTTTCTTAATCTAGCACGCTCCGTCCGTGAGAGCGTTTTCAGACCCTCGAAATGCATGACGTCATGCCTAATGCGTGACACTTGGTAGCTCTGTAGTATGGATTTCTCGTAATTGCAGAGACGCCAAGTTCAAAGATCAGCAATGCGTGACATTTTAATTTTTTCGGCGCACAAGCGCACGTGCGAGGGTATAACACACGTATGAGGTATAGCCTTTTTTCTAAATCTAGCGCGCGCGCCGTGCGTGAGAGCATTTCCAGACCCTCCAAATGCGTGATGTCACGCCTAATGCGTGACACTTGGTAGCTCTGTAATTGGTACGGAAATTAACCATTATTATGGCAGTACGGAATTGTTGTCTAAAATTACAGATTACAAACAACAACATCAACAACAAAAATTTATCTTTGCTGTGCAGTATAGCGGCCAACCAACACGCGCTGAGAAAGACGGAAAAGTATCAAGTATTCTCTTAATAGAAGCCACTTTTTATGGAAAACTTGTGTGTTGTGATGATTTGAAAATCAATATTTAGCAACTTTGTTTAAGTAAAATCACCAACAATTTCAGATAATCATGCGTCTGGGCAGTGTTGGCATGCCGTTTTTTTAAGTTTCATAGCGCCGCATAGGAAAGTACTGATTTCTTCCCAAAATTCCAGATTTTGAGCCTTGATTTTTTGTTCTGGAGGTTGGCAGCTCTGTATGTAGACAGTACATGTACAACGTTCACAGTGTATGTACATACATGTACAGAACATGTACATGGCAATTCAGGAAGAAAAACCATGCATTGTTCATGTACATACAGTACTTTGCAACTGTGTCTGTAATGTATGATCTTTATGTCAAATTACGTCAATTAAAAAAATGTACTCTTCACTAGTTTAAGTACATGTATCTAACTGGCTAAAAATCAATTTCAGTCTCCACAACGGAAGGTCATGCTCTATTGTGTTCAAAATATGCATTGAACATTCCGGCACAGTGTAGTGTGTGTGTGCTCGCCAAGTGCAAGTACATTACCATATGCACACACTGCAGCAAACCCTCACTGCTACATGTAGCAGACATAAACATTGTACTGCTTGTACATGTTGTGTTCATAAAGTTGTCTTTCATGTCAGAGACTGGTGTTAATTAAGCCTTCTTTTAATACATGTACATGTGTAGATTATGTATTTTCGTAACATCTTCATAGGCTTAATCATCACTCAGTGAATAAAAGTCTGGCACTAATTCCCTCAGAATGGTGGATAGATCCTTTAGATTCATGGGTGCTAATAATGTATGTTAGGAGGGGGGTAGGGGGAGGGGGCACAAGTCTTAAAATTTGATGACGGACACAAACATTTGACAAAAGGAAACAAATTAAGGAAACAAGTCAATTTGATCGCATATATGTTCAGGTACTCTTTGGGGTGATCACGCCCCGGCCCCCCCCCCCCCCCCACTCAGTGTTATTTAGGGTACACATATGCGTGTTCCAACCGACCCCCCTTTTCAGCAAAAGTCCGGTGTGTAAAGTCAATACGGCTCGACCTTTTTCTTTTGTATACGAGCCTTTTTCAGCACCCCCCCCCCCCCCCTTTTCAGCAAAAGTCTGGTGTGTAAAGTCAATACGGGTCGACCTTTTTCTTTTGTTACGAAAAGGACATTTTGGCAAAACGCATGGGGTCCGTCCGTTCTCGGAGTGGGGGGGGGGGGCCGGGGATCACGGGAGGCACCTTTTTTATTTGTATAATCAAGGACTTGGGGTACATGTACATGTCAGAATGAGTTTTGTCAGGCAGGGGAGTAGAGAATGCTCCTTGTGCCTCCCCAGGCGTTACAAAGGTTTTAACCTTAAAATACATACTCATATAAAAAAGATACAAAGGTATGTTTTGTAATTATTTTTAAAGATAAACTTGAGTACTGGTAATGCGATTGCATTGTGAAAGAAAAGGTGTGGTCTGGATCAGAAAAGTTGATCATATAGCATGTAAGTAATGGTGTGTAATGCAAGGTTCTAGAGTCATCAAAATCATCATAAATTTGGCAGAGTCTTGGTAAAGTAACAATCACTTACACAGATAGATGGGACAACACACATGGTGTCGGGGCTAGTACTTCCCTGATTTCGTTATCTTTCTATGCTCATTACTCAGCCAGTATACATTTCTACCAAACTGTTTAGCAAATGACATTTATTTGTAATCTTGAACATTCAGTGTAAGTTTCGTTAGATTCTGTGAAAATTCATTTTCTTTTTTTACCAGAACTCAAGTTTATCTTTAATGTACATTGAGCTACCGTATACGATTGTAATATTGAGACATTGTACAATCATACATGTAGATGTATTCAACACCTCATGGATCAGTCATATTATTTGTGTTTGTAGGCTATACTATACCTGGACACTCTGTACATGTACATGTACATGTAGTCCTACATTATATTCAAATTATTGCTTCCTGTGTTAAGCCATTTCAATTTGACCTTGGAGGGGGGGGGGGGGTATTTCAGTCTGAGCATGTACTTGTGTAATTTGCAGTACAATCTATATGTAGATTTTATGGCAGACAATTCAAAATTCTATGTTTCTTAATTTTTTTGTTTGGATCTCATTCATTCGTCTGCAGTTTTGACAGCCTCTATGCCACCCTATTTGGGTCAGGACCGTCGGGTGACAGACCGAATTTCAGCGCAAATCCAGCCACAAGACCCTCTGCAAATGTAAGTGGTTCAAAGTCATTCAGAATGTCATCATACGCAATATAGTCTGTAGAACTGTCCCCCTTTTCACAGTTTGAAAGAGCTTTAAATTAATCAGCTTTTTTAGATACAACATCATTCACACACAGAAAATTTTGGTGCTGTCGTTCGAGATTCGCTGCTCTTTAAACGTTTAAAGAGCAGTGCCCGGTCTAGTTACGGACGTATATCCGTTCACACACAAAATGTCTTGCTCTCTAGATACGGGCTTTGTATCTGCAGCCTGCTTTGATCGGCGTATGAATCGCGACTTCGTATCTGTCCGAACATCGTATAAACGACGTTCACACAGCTCTAGATAAAATGAATTTTACCCCTGTGTGTAAAGGCTCTGTAATCACTCGATCAATCAATAAATCAGCTGATACAAAAATCAAGCAAGTAGTACTCACTGTACATCCATTCAAACTTCATTGGATCACAAACTTTGTACTATTCTAGATACTTTCCAAAGGAAGTGTACCGTTAAAAGAAAAACAAAAATAATTTGGGTCGTTGCACAAGCACTGTCATGCATGGACCTCTAGGAAAAACAGAGCCATTTTAATAATGGCTCTGAATATAACATTCCAGCCATTTTTTTAATCTTGATTTATATTATATTTGTAAATTGTATTCTTGTATGTACAGCATTTGAATTTTTATGCCGAAAATAAAACCAATGTAGGCTATGACTTACAGGCTTTATATTAATTATAATCTGACACAGAAATTATGCCGACTTTATATTGAAAGAGAAGGTAGTATTTTACATGGAAAGTTCTTAATATGTCTGTTTGTTTATAAGTCTGGATTGTTTGTTTTTTAACCAGTGAGGGTGGGAGAAGAATAAATTCCATCAAGGCTCTCTGACCTCCTTGGACTACGTGAAAATGAACAAATGATGTTGACATACATGTAAGCCTGAATGTTGATGCTCACCAGAGCACCCTTGCAGGTTTTTAGCTCCAAACCATATATTGCCATTAGTATACAAATAATCCACAGCAGTGAGGGCATTAGTAAGAATTACCCACACAAGGTACCTTTGGAATAGTCTAACATGCCAAAGGCGGCAGCCGAGGGTGTTTGGACTGTTTTGAAGGTACCGAGTGTGGGTAATCTTACTAATGCCCAAACAAAATTATGTGTATTATTTGTTTTATACGATTATGTTTTATTTGTTTTATAAAATGATGTTTTATAACATGATTTTACTTATAACCGGTCATTAGAATTGGATAATGACCAGTCATTATCCAAATTACACCTTAGGCAAAATAAATGCCTGGTCACGTGTACGCTTTCAACCAATCATTTGATTAGGATCCACGTCATCATCTTATAATATGAATTAATATATGATGCACTTTTTTCATGGTGCACATCTTTCATGGTTATCCATATGGTATCTACAAATATATAATATTCTTCACAATGAATTACTTCCCTGTTCCTAATATAGACATCTTGCTGTGTAAATTTTCAAATTTGATTTAACGTGGGAGCATTTCTAGTTTTCCACCCACATATGGTATTTGTATTATACATGTCTGATCATGTGCTAAATATATCACATATATTTGCACCATGTATTAGTGTATGCCGAAGTGTAGTGTGATTAATCAGTAGAATTTTAGTAGACTAATTATTTCTGTGGGAAAGAGATTTGAATAATAAGCCACTTCACGGTTACAAATTTTGAAATACAAGTACCGTAGACAAAATGAAAGTTATGTTATGTAATCATTATTCATTCGTGCACAAGCAGTGCACTCCATGATACACAGGTGAAAGTATTCTTTTAAAAGGGGTAACAAAGGCTATTTATATAGCACCTCCATCGCTGTAGGAGTGATTATTTCAAAATGTACAAAGTGGGACCTCTTCATGTTTTGAAGATCTATGGATATTCGGGGTCATTGCAGTAATGTGCTTACCGTGAACTGGTCTATTGCAGTGGAAGTGCTTTGATTAAATTGTTTTTAAAATGTACAACTAATCAATGCAGATTTTTTTCATTTTTTCACTCCTGGTAAATGTCCTCATCCTTTTTTTTTATCTTTTAGGAATCTCTGTATCCGTCATCGCCATATCAACAGCATCAGATGCCTACAAGCCCCCAGATGCACTCCGGTGGCCTTGGCCAAACTCCAAATGGACTGTCTTATCCAACCCATTCCACAGACGAATGGCATCCTTCTGGACCCCCAGCAGCCCCACCTCAACACCTGAAGGAGCCTTACTCTATTGGACCCTTTGATAGTATCTGGTCGATGAAGTCCAGCGAGATGGCGGGTGCAAGTGCAGGAGTCCAGAACCACCAGAAGAAAGCAGGTGACTGGTCTTCAGAGACCACAGCAACAGCTTCAGGGTATCATGATACGCCGCACACTCCTAAATCAACCACCAATGGTTTACCCTTTGGAACGTATGACCAGCAGGTGTATGGACATGATGATGTTGGTTTCCATGGTGATGTAAGCAGCGTTACAACACCTGGTGGCGCCTGGTCACCCTGTGACGGTGTGAACGACGCCAACGTCTCAGGATTACCAGACTGGAATTGGAATCAGGGGGAGTATTCCTCAGTGCAAGCTGAAAACTGGCAGCCCACCAGCGGACCGGAGATGGTTGGGAATATGGCCAATCCTGCAGTTAATGAGTGGGAACTTCAGGAAGACGAATTAGCTAGGAAAAATGAAGAAGAGGACATGAAAGGCAGGCAAGAGCGAAGAGAGTGGGCGAAGAAAGGGCTCAACTACACTGAGTTTGTTCCAGCTGGAAGTGCTCATAAACAGAAGTCACATGCCAATTCTCAAAAAGCAGCCTCACTGAATGGGAAAGTAGTTGCAACGTTCCTTCAGAAGTATCGCGACAAAGATCCTGAACCTCTGACCCCTGAGAGCAGCATAGATTCAAATCTACACATACAGGTAGGGACAGGTAGAGAGTTTCCATCACAGATGATTGAAGAACTCGGTCCAGTATGTGGAGAGAGTGTGTCCAGTCACCATATAGGGAATATTGCAGTCAATGTCCCGGCAACGGATAGAGAGTGCCATGTACCAGCAAAGACTGTCTTACAAGAACCTGGAAGATGTGACTCCACAGGAGATTACCAAGAAACAGCATCTAACGTAGACTCATCAGATCTGAGGGATCGGATGGGAGGTAGAGAAGTAAGATCTCTCTCGGATCCAGTGACTGTACAGGAGGCACAGCAGAGCAACGGTGTTAAAATTGGAACAACAACACGGAAGACACTGAGCAATGGCAAGATCCGACCGGGTAAGAGGAAACCCAAGTTGCCTCGGGACAAACGCAGGAGCATGGCTCCAGCTGATAAATCTGAAACTGAATCTTGTGGAAAACAGACAGTCCAGGTTAAAACCAAAGAGCAACCGGAGGGTATAGACAAAAATGTTCACCTGGTCACCAACAGAACAGGTTTAATGCCTAAACTATCTTCCAAATCTCTGAACAGCACTTCGTCTGAACATATTGTGCAATCATCCAAACCTACAAAGTCATCACAGAGTAAATCATGTATACCAGACAATGCAGGTGCAAACTCTCTCCTTGCTTCCAAAGCACATGCAGTGAATTCCAAAACCTCATGTCAACAAGTGCCACCAATGGACCAGGTATCAGTAAATCATGCTTCTTGCCTTGAAAGCAGTATATGTGACGAGTGTGATAGTAAATCTACTCTCTCTGAAAAAGTTTTCCAATCTGCACCAGTCAAAGAAAACCTTGGAATAAAGGATGATATGTCATTGGGTGTTTCATACTGTGGTAAACCTAAAGAAGTCTCAGAAAAACCCTGTGTGTCATCTAAGAATGTCCAGGAGCAGAGTGCCCAAGCGGCTCCTCTTGATAAGCGTATAGCATCACAGAATGACAGCTCAGACTGTTCCAGACATGTGACAGATCATGTCATTGATACATCACAAAATAACAGAAAGGAGGATTTTATTAAGGGTATGAGGTCAACCCCTGTGCAGAATCAAACACCAAGTTGTGAATCAGATGGTAATAGCTCTATAGAGAAATTGAAACTAACTGATGAATTGAAATTAGGCAATAGCAACAAAGTTCCAACAACCACAGGAAGCTCAAAACACACCAGTCCTAAATCTACATCAACGCTGATACAGGGTCAAGAGAAGACAAGTACCAGAGATAACAATCTGTTCTTTGACCCCAAAAGGATATTTGGAGGTCAAAAACCTGTCAAAACAGCCGAGCAGAAACAGAAGAAGGAAGCAGAAAAGTCAACAAACTCATTATCAGCAGCGAGAATCCTTAAAAACAGCCGTTCAAATGTTTCTTTGGATTACCATGTCAAGGGAAAGGATCCTGCCCAGGCAGCAGAGTCAGAACAGTGTAGTGAGCTGCCTGATTGTCCAACTGTACAGCAACCAGCCAACCTGACCAAATCTGTGAGAAGCAGTAAGAATGAAGGAATGGCAAATGGAACAGTCCCAAGCAAAGATCTACCTCTGCACCCTGCCCAAACTGTGCCTTCATCCAGTGCAAAGGATGCATTAGCTAGCAAAACCTCTGCCATGAAAGCAGAGCCTACGTCTTCTCAGCATCACAGAGAACCAATCAAGCAGCCTGCTTCACCAACGGATCCCCGACCTTCCAGGATGTACAGCTATAAGAAGGATGATGACACCGGTGTCTTGAGAAGGTCATCGGATCCAAAAGTGGAGGAAGCAACAACACACCAATCCCAGAGGCGGGACTCCAGTGGGACTCCCCAGAGGCAAGACTCCAGTGGGACTCCCCAGAGGCGGGACTCCAGTGGGACTACCCAGAGGCGAGACTCCAGTGGGACAACCCAGAGGCGGGACTCCAGTGGGACTACCCAGAGGCGGGACTCCAGTGGGACTACCCAGAGGCGGGACTCGAGTGGGACTCAGAGTTCTTCTGATGAAGGAAGAGGAGAGAGGAGATGCAGTGGTGAATCTCATATGGATGGTTTCCACCATCCTTTTGGTTGTTCAGCACATTGTTACAGAAAGTCGTCTACTCCTAGTAGTTCTCGATCAAGCTCAAACAGCAGATCAGCTCCTTCTGGTGTCAACCAGAGCACAGGATCTGCATCATCAGAGGAGAAAACATTTTCTCAAACTAAACAACCAAATGTTTCTGATCAGTGTGGAAATAACCCTTCGGAAAAGGTCTTTGATGCAAGTGCCTTTGCAGAATTGAGAGAGGGTCTCAAGAACTCCTGGTTGTCGAAAGAGAAAGAAAAGCAAAGGGAGGAGCAGAAGAAACAGCAGGAGAGAGCCCAGGCAGAACACCTAGAGAAAGAGCAGCAGCGGAAAATGCATGAACAAAGAAGACAACAGGAGCTGCAGGAACAGAGGAGGCAGCAGGAGAAGCTAGCGCAAAGGGTACAGCAAGAAAAGCAGGAGCAGAAAAAACAGCAGGGGAAACCCCAATCAAGTGCCTCACATGCCAAGCGTCCAACCAGAGCAACCTACAGTAAGCCCAAGTCTGCAGAGCAGGAGTCCAAGGCCAAGAGACCAGGACCAGCTAAAGACAGACCAATGCCAGGGACCAGCGCCCAACAACCAAGAAGGCCAGGGACCCAACAACCCAGAAGGCCATGGCCTAGCCAACCTGAAGATAGACCTCGGACACCTTCCCAGGAGGACAGCGCTGAAGATAGCGACTTGGAGGAAGACCTAGCGAGGGGAATCACTGATGGTGAGTGCGCTACAATGCAGTGTATGGAAGTTAAGTAGATAATTCTCGATGAAACAATGATCTACTCTTGAAGAACTAATACATATTCTTCACTCTTACTGTTATTTATATAGGAGAGAGCAATTGAGAGGGGACAACAAAAAAATAACCTCAGCACTTTGTAATTTACCTCCCAAATGTAATGAAGTTGTGAATGGGAAACAGCATCAGATCATATTAGTTTAATGAAAACTATCTGATAATTTACCTAGAGCAAAACAATGTGCAATGAAGATTATTTGACTGCATTTTTTTGTATAGCCCTTGTTGCTTCTTGAGTGAATAGATCATTTCACATTTTTAAATGATGCATGAATTCTCTATTATGATTGATTTTAAAGATTGTAGATGAAAATGCAGCTACAAAGGTTTTTTTTTTATTCCTCACAGAATGGTGGTTTCATCTTGGCAAGAAGCTGTGCAATGGAGTTGCATGGTTAATCCTCTTCACTATTCTCCTCTGTCTTGTCATACTCTCATTCGTGTTGGCCTTGTAAGTATACTTTCCCCTGCTTTTACTTCCTCATTAATCTACTATGGTTCTCAGAAATATGATCCATTCAGAAAATTTGAAGTGAAAAAAGATCGTGAAATGAAATCATATCTAGATCAATGTATACATGTAAGCATGTCTTTTCTTAGATTCAAGAAAACATGAACATGTTATTAAAGGGAGCTTGTATTCTTCATTCAGTAGTCTTCTATTAACAATCTAATGAGATATTACGAGACGTTTTCAATTTTTTTAAAGTAATTGATTACAAAACATATTTTTCCTTCCAATGCTCTCTTTTTTTCTAGCGCAAGGGACACCTGCAAGTTTGCCTACCGCCGTGGATGGGAATTGTGGGCGTGGTACAGGGAGAAATCCCCTAGAGACGATGACGACGGGTTCTTCAGCTCTCATCGAAGCCACCAGAGAGAGTCTGGTGATGGGGGCTGGGGTAGCAGTGGGCAGCAGGGGCAAGGAGCCAGGACAAAGAAACCCAGGAAGAAACAGACCCAGAATATTGACCTTCCGAGCACTGGTAAATCATTCATTATCATCATCATCATCCTTTTTTTTGGGGGGGGGGGGGGGGAGTAGGATGTTTCATTTTCTTGATGGTGAAAGAATTTTTCAGTATTTGTTTCCTCTAGACTTTCCACTAGCTTGTACCCAAACCCTCTAGTGAAAGTTCCATGGAAATGCCTATTAGACCTTCTAGTCGATGATTGTTCACAAGATACTTGTACATGGCACCTTTTCATGTATTAGTCGGGTATTACTTCATGTTTGTGAAAAAGGGTCATTCAAGTTTATTATGTCCAATCGTATCTTGTTCATGTTCTGAGTATAAAGCTAAACTCCTCTTGACAATGCTAAACAAATGAACATGAATAAAAAGAGACCTTGCCTAGCATAGAGGAAATTTGCTAGCTTATCATTAACGATGATTGTGATTCCGTTCAATTCAATTCACATTTATTCGGCAAAAGATAAAAATCAAAATGAAATCATTACAGATACCGGGATTGCTAAAACAAATTAAAAACTTGTAAACAAACAACCCCAAACATAAAAACATACAGATACAATACAATACAATACTATACTAATAATGCTACATACATTATTAACAAAATATATGAATCCGTGGTGTTGTTCTCAACTTTGTGAACCCTCAGAGCATGCAGCCATTCATCGCATCCTTGCCTGTGATCCTGGTAGTTATTACGAGGTGGTAGGAGTGGCCGAGGATGCCCCGGAGGATGACATCAAGAAGTTCTACCGCAAGCAATGCATGCTCGTCCATCCTGATAAGGTGAGTCGAAAATATCCCCCTGAAACTACCGGATTACAGAGAACAACCCCCATCCCCTTGGAAATATATTCATAATAGATAGTGTCAGTATGACAAGTTTAGTGACCCAAACAGAATTCTACTTCTACATCAAGTCTCTCTCCAAGTACCTCAGTCTTGAGCCATCCGTTTCAGCATTTCATATCCTGTTGCTCCACATTCTGTGATTAAGTCATCTAGAAAGCCTTTACAAGGTCTCCCCCTCTTCTTCTTTGGAAATGTATTAGTAGTAATAATAATAGTAATTAACGTCTTTGTATTGCGCATAACACATAGGCATAATTACATGTCTCTATGCGCTTCACAGAACAGAAAGTGTAGGGAGTGGAAATTGAATATTTGGTTCGTAATTGTGAGATTTTACAAAGTGCTAAATAAATAAATATGTTTTCAAATTAAATTGAACTTTTTGTATGTTTCTATATTTCTAAGGTATCATTTAGTCGAGTTGAATTGCTTTCCGCTGAAGCAGGAGAATTAAAAATGTTGTCGGTCATACAGACACACACATTCAAATTTGCCAAGAGGGAATCTTATCTGGCACTTTGTGAGTAATAAAAAAATACTTATGTCCACAATCAATTGTAAAAATGTAGCCCTTTCAGTCAACAATCTCCAGAAAAACATGGAACATGCCATATTGAATCATCTATATTTAATGGTATTTGTAAAATTGTGTCTGCTTTTACAGGTTTATATTTTGTATAAATAATCCTTGAGTTTCTTTTCATTTTATTTGTCACAAACAGACTGATCAACCTCAAGCCAATGAGGCCTTCCAGATTCTACAGAAAGCCTATGCAATACTAAGTGACACGGTAAGGCATGTTTTGTATTTTTATAGCAAGTAACAACATGTCGAAGTATTACTTCTTGGTCTGACACATGATTAGCTACAGAATGCTACATGGTTTATTGTTGAGTATAATTTAAATGTGGTTGTCACGAGTTTTAGAGATTCAACTTTATCCAGGAATTTTACTTTTCCTTTGGTGATTTTTCATCACACGGGAAGGCACGTTTTGATCAAGTTTGGTGAATAAATACTGCCATTTTATACTGCACCCACATCCACATGTGCAAGGCAAGGTCACCACGATATCTTAATTTTGTATATTTCAACCTATGCTTTACTTTTCAAATGCACTTTTTATGATGGAATTTCTTTCTTTTTTTCAGACTAAAAGAACTGAATATGACTTTGAGCTTGACTACAAGGAAGATCTACAAGACAAGGTTAGTGACAAGGTCAAAACTCAAGGTCACTTGCCCCCCCCCCCCAAAAAAAAAAAAATAGACACTATCTTTAGTTAAGATTTTCAAATAGAGGTTCAATATAAACTAATCTTTCTTATGTCAAAAAAGCAAACATAAGTCAATCCTCTTCAAGATGATATGCAAATGGAATCATACCATTCGTGCATGAGTGAGGATAGCCATTTATTTGACATCAACAAGTCTTTGAAAGAAAATTGCAAAAATGAGGCATCTTGCCGCTCAAATGTTGATGAGTATTGAAGGTATCCTGTTGCTCGTCCAATATCTTGGTGGAAAGGAGAGGCATCCTGATCATGCTTGTCAAAAGTATGCACTCCTGAGACTACAGTTGACAGCCAGAGCTCAAAATCCTCATTCTTTCTCATTCTTTGTTTTCATTATTGAACAATAATGTCTTACAGATCTACGCACATGTTCATTAACATTTGAGTAGCTACTGGCTCTTATTTATGCAATTTTTGCAATTTTCTTAATCGGACCTTCTAATGGTTAAATGATATGCCCCTCCAAGCTTGAAAGTTCATAACTTGATCTGAATTGATGTTAATGGAGTATTGATTATTATTACTTTTTTATGTATTTTTTTTTTTTTTTTGGGGGGGGGAGGGTTACTGCTTTATATACAAACCAATGCGAGAGTCTTGTGATTTCTGTGTGACTACAGGTGTAGATGAATTCACAGGAATCAACAGTTCTGATTGAAATGTATATTACAGATTAGGTGTTCTTTTAAAGGCCGGCTGTACTAGTTTGGCCAGGAGGGATTAGACCACACAGCGTGGTCAAAGACAGGTGGCTATCTCATCAACTCAGCTCTCAATTAACTTAAGAAAAAGAGGATCATGGGGGACCAATGGTCACTGATTAGGCATTGTTTTCCAAATAGAGGGAGCAAGTAGCTACAAGTAGGACAGTGGGGCTTTAAGCTGACATTTAGAACAGGCATGACCATTTTGTAATATTGGGAAGCAGTTCATAGTCTTCATTTTGATCTTTTCTCTACTTCTGAAAAACAGGTCAACGATTTATTCAAGAAAATGGCAGAGGTAAGAATGTGTTTTAGAGTAGGATGGGTTGTAGGGAACATGAGACAATACATCCAGAAGTTTCTATTCTTTATGTGAATTCATTTTTTTTCCTTCTAGCTCTCTCCTTTTAGTATTAGATATGCGTTTATTCTTAGTTCATTTGCTTTTTCAGAATATCTCTACACACCAGCTATTTGTGTAGTTGATTTTCATGATGCATTTTGCAAGAGTTAAGACTTCAAATCTTCCACACATCAGTATTGAAGATACAGATCAGAAATTGGTAGTAATGATATAAATGTGCATTAATATAGTGCAAACACTGTACAAATATACTCTTCTATGCTTTACAAAGTGTCATGATAGCATTTTGTTATAGATCCAAATCCATGATGTACTGATGAAAAATAGAACATGAAGTCCTGTTTTAATGTATCAAAGTCGGTTAATAATGACTATTTGTAAAGCGCCATATCCATTTTGCAGAAATGTTTAAGACACCAAGTCGTCAATCTCGTCATCAAGTAAGAAATATAAGGATGTCATCTGTTCACAGTGTAGCAGGGTTTATTTTAACCGACCCCCTGCTTCTCCTTTCAGGCGGCCGATGCAATGCCCTGTGGAGTATGTAGGAGATCCCACAAGCGCTATGAGACTGATCTACCCATCTCTGCTGCTAGATTCTGTGCAACTCATAACACCAGGCACCCAGTCAGTAATGTAAGTTCATGAGACCCTTCAGATTTTTTAAACACTTCAACTGATCTGCTTATTACGAATCTCTCGATGGAAAGCATTCCACAGCAAAGGCCCTGCACAAGCAGAAGTTCTTCCCATCCCCCTAACTTAGTATTGAAGTTAGGAAGAACAAGAAAATGAAAAAAATGTTTGATATCATAAGTACTAAAATAGAATTGAAGTATTCAAGCATCTACATGTATGCCATGTCTATTGATTTCTTGTAATAGGCCCCAGCATGTACATGTTACACACACCGAGTACAGATTTCTGCATTATTCAACTCTGTTGGGAGGGCAAAAAATTGTTAGACTTGGGCAAAATTCAACTTAGGAAATGTTAATAACACATGTTTTGCATAGTATGGTTCCAAAAATTGATTGGACTTAGGGAATTGTTGACTTTTACGGCTTCGAGTTTTAACTTTATGTTTTATTAAGCGCATTCATGTGTAAGATTATGACTGCTATCAGTTCTACCACTGTAGATTGCAACATGCATTTCCATCACTTTTCCTTCAAATGTTGTATTCTTCACGATATGAAGTTCAGGGAAACTACATTAGCTATCACAAGAACACCTTTATTTTTATTTTTTCAAGTACATGCATATTGGTGCAATATAGAATAAAATTCTTCTATTTTCTTTTTGTCCACTTAACTGGTTTCCTACAAAATATGATAGGCAAAGAGCACTGATCAGTTTATGTCCCTGAGTGAATATTAATCCTCTTTCATAGTTTCCTCATTCCAGTGGTTAAGAATCTTTTATTTTTATTTGGTAATTTAGTAAGCACATCGGGATTATGCATGTGGGCAAAGCTTATACCCCCTCCCCCCTTTCCCACCCCCCGAGCACCCACGTTATCCACCAATATGTTCTATACTGCTTTCATTGCATCTCATCAGGGGGCTCTATGGAAGGAGACGCGGCACCTTGGTTTCAAGATCTTTGTGTACCTCTGTGATGAACGAACGGTGTACGACGTGACAGAATGGGCTGCCTGTCAGAACCTTGATTGGTTAGAGGCTAACTCGTGTCGTCTGCTGTGTAAGGTCAAGAGAGGTGGTCGAGGCAGTCAACAACAGAGGCAGCAACACTCAGCAGGGTAATAAAGATGATAGTGGTGGTGGTGGTGGTGGTGGTGGTGGTGGTGGTGGTGGTGTTGGTGTTGGTGCTGGTGGCGGTGGTGGTGGTGGTGGCGGCGGCGGCGGCGGCGGCGGCGGTGGTGGTGGTGGTGGTGGTGGTGATGATGATAGTAGTGGTGATAATGATGAAGATGATGATGATGGTGGTGGTGGTAGTGATGGTAATGGTGGTGGTGGTGGTGATGATGATGATGATAGTAGTGGTGATAATGATGAAGATGGTAATGATGATGATGACGGTGGTGGTGATGGTAATGGTGGTGATGGTGGTGATGGTAATGGTGGTGGTGGTAGTGGTGATGATGGTGAAGATGGTGGTGGTAGTGATGACAATACTAGTGGTAATAATGATGAAGATGGTGATGGTGGTGAAGTTGGTGGTGGTGGTAGTAATGATGACAGTAGTGGTGATAATGATGAAGTTGATTATAGCAGTGATGACGGTGGTGGTGGTGATGATGGTAGTGGTGGTGAAAATAATGAAGTTGATGATGTTGAAGTTGGTGGTGGTAGTGATGATGACAGTGGTGGTGATAATGATGAAGTTGATTATAGCAGTGATGATGGTGGTGGTGGTGATGATGGTAGTGGTTGTGAAAATAATGAAATTGATGATAGTGGTGATGATGGTGAAGGTGGTGGTAGGTGTAGTGATGATAATCGTGGTAGTGATAATGATAAAGATGATGATAGTGGTGATAATTGTGATAAAAGTACTGGTAATGGTAAAGACTAAAGATGATGGTGTTAAGAGTTGCTGATGATGATCATATCATGATAGGGATAGTGATATGATTATGATTACATTGATGGTAACTTAGAAGATGATACTGATGATGTAGATAACACTGAGAAAAATGGTGATGGTAATGGCGATGTCAGGTGGAAGTGTCAGACAAGGAAATATACATTCATACTGTTATCTACTTATCTTTTTTACGTTACGTTCAGGTACGAAGAGATGTTTGACAATATATTCGGATCCGGGGCTTTCCATCAGTTCCAGAGCTCGGCCAACGAACAAAGTCACCATCGGAACAGTCACCATGGCAATGGAGGAGGAGGAGGGGGAGGTCACGGCCATGGCCAGCAGGGAGGAGGAAGCCGCAACAAGGGGGTCAAAAAGTCACGCAAGAAGAAGAAGTAGACTAGGTAGTAGTCCGTGTAGTTGATAAGGTCACTCACTGTGCATGTGGTCACAATGTAACCTTAACATTTATTTTTTAAATGGAGCTTTCAGAGATAGCATAGGAACGTCATTTGGTGAAATGTATTTTTCCTTCTATCATGGTGAGGCTAGGTGTTATGCCTTTGTAGTAAAAAACATCGTGTCGACTGATTCGATAGACATTGTACGGACTTTCTTGGAAAGCAGGGTTAAGTCACATTCTGTATCTCATGTATACATAAATATAGAATTTTACCTTTTGGTAAATTGACATACTTTTCCATATTTTTTTTCCAAACAAACTTCTCTCTCATGCATCTCATGAAAAAAAAAACAGACTGTTAGGTAAGATTTATACAACAAATTGGAAGTGCAATTCTTATATACCTGTACCACCTCTTTATCTTTTGTATTTGCGTGGCAATTTGCATATTGAAAATTGATAGAGACTGTATATTTTGTAGAGTAATGCAACTCAATCGGTTTTGTTTTAAGTAAAGGCTTGCCCGGATTGACTGGCATGAGTTTGGGGATAGTTGTGTAAAATTCGTAATGTTGTCCCTAACCTTCTTTCATAGTATTTTCCTTCTCTCTTTCTTATATTTTTTTGGTTCTTGGTCAGATATTTCTCACCTTCTATTTTCTAGCACTATCATATGTTTAGTGTATTTGTCCACCTGAAATGTGATAAGATCTGGATTGTTGACATAAAAATTATAGTAATTCTGTTAAAGGTAAAGACCATTTATGGTCATGCGATTGCATTGTGAAAGAAACGTTGTGGAATCGATCAGAAAAGGTTGATCATCTAGCATCTAGCATCTGCAAGGTTCTGGAATCATCAAAATGATAAGAAATTTGGCCCATTCTTCGTAAAGTTACAAGCACTATACACAGAAAGATGTATATGGGACTACCCTATATCTCTCACAGACCATGAGAGAAACAAATTTACCAAATATATGAATTAGTAGGCGGTTTCCCGGCAAATTTTGTATCATCATGTATTAGTCAAAACATATTCTTTCACATGATTGGTAATGAGAGCTTCCATTTCATTTTTTGAAATTGGGGCGTTTCCAATACTGGTCTTTACCTTTAACAGCTATTTTTTCCACCATACATTGCTTGTGTTTCACTGATTTAAACCACTTTATTTTGATTGCTTGCTGTTTTGTGATAACAGATTGTGTTATGTGATTACTTTTTTTTTGGGGGGGGGGGGGGGGGGGGGGGGGGGGGGTCCATAATTCAAATACTTCAGAAATAGCTTTCAAATACCATAACTTATTCCTCTCTAATGGGATAATATTTATTTTTTTGTCTTTGTGTGATGTAACTTGCTCGAGCTGATATATGATGTCAATTTATATTCTCATTACAAGAAATATATATTTTTGTAAGGTACATGAATGGTATCTTGTTTGTCTTCTTAACTGAGCATTTCTCAACGATTGTGAAGCTTTTGGAATTTTAGGAAACTTTTGACATCTTCTTAAGTTTGTAATTTAAAAAAAAAAAAAATTCTATCAAGGAAACTTTTCTTTTATAGAATCGCAGGGTAGTAAAGTCATTTTTCAGATAAAAGTACCGGTAGTAAGAGGTTTTGTAACACATTTATATGATAATGGGCAAGCCAGATTATAAGTATTAGCAATGGTAGATTAAAACTGTTTTAGAGTACCTCTAAGGGTGATATTTGAAATGCAGATTGGGGAAGAATTCATGTGAAACATTCAATATGAACGTGTTACTAACCAATATGAGGAATGAGGGAGGTTATCATAAACCGAGTCATTTTGTTTACACGTTTCATGTAGGTTAACTGCTCATTGGGAGTGGGACTCGTCTACATTGTACAACTTGTAGCTACTTGCTCCCTCTATATAGAAAACAATGCCTAGTCGGTAACCATTGGTCCCCCATGATCCTCTTTTTCTTATGTTGTTTGAGAGCTGAGTTGATGAGATAACCACCTGTCAGTGACAATGCTAATCCCTCCTGGCCAAACTAATGCAGACGGGCTTTAAAGCACGATTGCTGCAAGTCACCAAGCTATTGTATTGAGATTTCAGTTACAATTTACATGATTACGTGTATTTTTTTTTATAATAAATACAAAGAGTCTGTTAAGTGATACAGAAGAGGTTCTTAGCCTTGAAATACATTTCAAGTTGTTGATGATTGATTACTATGAAAGGTGATCTTTCACTATTAAAATAGATAAGCCATATTTCCTCATATCATCAGAATTATTTATTGTGTTTGCTATTAGCAGCCTTAGAGTGCATTTCCTGTTATATTGTTAGCTGACGTGGGTCATGTTACTTTAATTTTTTGGTTGTTTGAAAAGATTGGACATTTCCAAAGAAAATTATGATCAGGTAATTGTTTTTTCCCTTGTATGTGTCAAGAAAGAACATTGCCATATTTAGGTAATAACGTGTAAATTTATTTCGGTATCTATTGAAATAGCTGTTTAATTGCACTCATGTCAAAACACATAACGATCTATAAAAAGATGACAGTCTCTCTTTTTGGATTTGTGGAGAACCTTTAGTTTTCACGTGTATGTTGCAATTATCTGTTTGTCTGTTTGTAACCAGAAGGGCGTTAACTTGTATACGTTAACACAGAGTTAATGCCTTTCTGACTCCGAACAGACAAATTGCTCTGTCTTTCCTATACATGATTAGAAACTTTATAAACACTGTTTTATTATTATTATTGTATATTTGCTTAACATTTTGGGAGGATAATGATATACCATTCATTGCTGTTGTTGTATGCATTAACTTGCTCTTTAAAGTAAGGCTGTGAACAACAGTGTAATGAGGTACCCGAGTACACTCCCATGCTTACAAGTGAATACTCGAGTATTCGGACGCCATGTTTTTTTCATAATTTTTTTTTATTTTAAAAAAATAAAAAAATTTGCGGCCGAATATTCGGGTACGAAAAATCGTACCCGAGTAGTTGTCAACCATGCGGGTACTCGAGCATTCAACTACCCTTCACGGCCTTACTTTAAAGAAAGGTAAGGGGAGTATTTAATATCAAGAGTTGAAAGGCGATCAAAAAGAAAATATGTTTAACCAACCTGATCATGAGATTAGTGATTCAAACAAAAGGTGAAGGAGTACATGTATGTATGACTAGGGCTCTGCCTTATAAAGAGTTACCATTGATCCAAATCAATCGTAAATTTACTGTCTCCACCTCCTATGTACATGGTTATGATTGATATCAATCGCAAAAATAAGTTGCGATTAATATAAAGTCTAAATAAGACGGGGCCTAGATGTCATTTTCCCGTTGTTATTGTTTGTTAGGTACCAGTATGACTCTCTCATTTATATGTAAAACTATGAACATAATCTGCATGTTCTTATGGATTCCTACAGTGTATTTTAGTTTTCAGATGTTCTTGGGTATGACTATATTGTAGTAATTTTCTCAGTTGTCTTACTTATGACTAAATCATTTTCCCTATGTTCTAATATACATGTATATGAGTATGTTATTTCCTATATTCTGAGGTATGACTATATTTTATGTAATTTCCTTTAAAAATATGATTGTAGGTATGACTTTATGTAATTTTACCCTATGTCCTTGGTTAGGGGTTACTGGTTTTTGCTATGTTCTTAGGTAAGACTACAGTATGTCATTGTTTTCCTGTGTTAATTTAAATAATAAGGGACATTCAATACAGCAAGTTACTTAATAATACTTGTATTGTCCTAAGTGACTTTCTTAATTCCTTAATACCTCCTTCACACCAACGAGACATATACTTAGTTTAAAGGTAAAGACCAGTTATGGTCATGCGATTGCATTGTGAAAGAAACGTTGTGAAATCGATCAGAAAAGGTTGATCATCTAGCATCTGCAAGGTTCTGGAATCATTAAAATGATAAGAAATTTGACCCATTCTTCGTAACGTTACAAGCACTATACACAGAAAGATGTATTTGGGACTACCCTTTATCTCTCACAGACCATGAGAGAAACAAATTTACCAAATATATGAATTAGTAGGGGGTTTCCCGGCAAATTTTTTATCATCGTGTATTAGTCAAAACATATTCTTTCACATGATTGGTAATGAGAGCTTCCATTTCTTGAAATTGGGGCGTTTCCAATACTGGTCTTTACCTTTAACCAGATATTCAATACCCATTAAGCTGACTCTCTTTCTGCTTTACTCTCTTCTGAAATACAATACATAACAGAAATACACATGCATTGCGTATTAGTGATGTTGAATTTGGATCAGGTATGTATTGAGTAAGGATATTGTGGCAAGGATACTGCATAACTGATGAAACAAAATACAGCTTATTTTGCAAGTCAGTACATTGTAACCTACTGGGAAATCCAAAAAGTGCCGGGGAATAACATTTGGCGACATGCTACGCTGTAACAGATTTATCTGTCTTCATACATGAATGCTGCAGAGCAAGATCTGTAGTGTCCAGATTACTAGATTTTAGTACTTGGTGGAAATTCAAAATTTTGCTTAAAAGTTTTCTTTCATTACTGTTAATGTCTCTATAGTTTATTTCTATTACAATTTCACATCAGGAGACTGTCTTGTTGCTAACATTGTATGTTTTCTGAAATAATGTAAAGATCAAAGTTGTGTCAAAACTAAATAAATTAGAATTAAATCGCTGATCTCCCAGTATAAGCGGTAGTACATGTACTGGTTTGATACACTGTCATCCCTAGAGACATCTTGGCAAATATTCTTTCTGCCACTGAAAAGTATATATTTTTCCTGGTTGCAATTTGTTTTTGACAATTAGTTTGTTCCCAACATGCCTGTAAGAATACTACCTGAGTTCTATTTCTGGTCTTGCCAACATGGTTTGGAAATCACCTTACAAAAGCTGCTTTATCTGGGTTTATATCATCTTTGTTTAGCTTTCTTTCATTTTTATTTTCTCTTTAAAAGCAGTAGAGACAGTTTTGTAGTTAATGTGTAAGTTTTTTGTAAAAAATTCGAAAGAATCATTGCACATGTAAACAAGACACGCTGTACAGAAAGTATGCTATCAAGAAATTATGAGATAAAGAAATAAATGTAAGTTGTTTGGAATAAAATTCTGTGTGAAATTTAAACTTCATTTTGTGTCATGTACAGTAGAAACAAAAGAAGATCTCCATTTTGTAGATAATGTATATTCATCCTTCTTATATCCTTATTTTAACATCGAAAGATAAATTGCTGTCCTTTCTTACTCTCCATCCCTTTATGTGCCTGTCTGTCTCTCACTA